AATCAAGAGAATTCTAACAAGTCAAGAGCTAGGCTTAGAAAAATTCAAAATACTATCTTTATTATTCTTGAACATCTTTTTTGCCTTGTAGGATAGAAATCGCTAACACAGACGATGAAGTAATCTAAAACATTTTCAGCAACGTTTCTAAGCCTCCAAAATACGATGGGAAGAGGGGACTATCTCTTACCTACTTACAATTTTACAAATTTAACTTTACATTAAGCGCTGTTTAAGTTGTGGAATTGGCATCTTTATAAATAGCAAATTTCCTTAGCAAAGTGCGCTCAAACCTAGGACAGATTTTGAGTCCAGTAAGGAATTCCTATCTAAATAAGTGTGTAGAAGCATTTCATTCTTCCATAAACTCTTTAAAATTATTTTCTTTGGCGATAAAAAACATATGCTGACCACATTAATTTAGCTCCTGAATTAAAGGCTAGTTCAACGACTACTTCAAAAATTGAAAGAATTTAGGTTCATTTATGAAAGGTTCAAATAATAATGCGCACCTGATCTGCTTCTTCGTAAGACCCTTCAAATTTTTGCAGGAGTGGGCGATTCGTGACCGGTCCAGACGGTTGCCAGCAAGGCCAAGAGCTCTAAATGATATGATGATTAAGTGATCTCTAGTAACGAATGCTCATAGCTTTCTTCAAACCAATTTCGTCTAAATCTGCTATCTATTTACACTCAGTCAAGCGTTCAATAAACAGAGAAAAAAAATAGCATTTTTTTGAATTATTTTCGGAAAGCGGACGGCGCAGTTGAAATAAGATTTTGCTCTGTGACAATATGTGAATCAAAGGAAATAATAGCGCTTGGTAAAATGTAACAAAACTGCACCTAAAATTAGATTAATTTTTATCAGTGGATTATGGGATAAAGATTTCAAATGTTAAAAATTCACTCACAGCCAGTGTATGCTCGTGCATTGTTGTACGAGCACTAAACACAGTATTAACAAAGTTCTGTATCGCATTTCAGCGTTACAAAATCATCGTAAATTCCACAAGCAGCTAGCCTAGGCACTCT